GCGCAGCGCGGCCAGCCAGGCGTGCTGCTGCGCCGCCTCCACCTCCTCCTGCCCCACCAGCAGCCCCACAGCCTCAAACGCATACAGCCGGTCGTCCACCGCGGTGATGGCGCCCAGCGCCAGTGCGCCGCGCCCCCCCGCCACGCCGCTCGACCGCGCGGAGGCGGCCGCCTCGGGGGCGGGGCTGCCCGCGATGGCTGCCAGGTGCGGCTGGATGCGCTGCGGTGGCGGGCGGGGCGGGGGCGGGGCACGGGAGAGCAGGGTGAGGCGCAGGGCAGGGGTGAGGCGCAGGCTGGGGCGAGCGAAGCAGCGAGGGGCGGCCAGGGTCGGGGCCTGGCGCAGCCGCCGGCGCCACACATGGCTGGCGCGGCCGTCAGCACCCACTCTACCGCCACCACCACCCCCACCACCGCCACCACCACCCCCACCACCCCACCACCTCCACCACCAGCCACCCGCCCACCTGCAGGATGTCAGGCAGCAGCGGCCTGAGGCTGCCGCGCAGCTGCTTGGCCAGGCGGCACAGCAGGTAGGCGGCGCGGCGCGACACCGCCTCGCACGGGTGGCCCATGCCGTGGCCGTCCAGGAAGCGCTGCGCGACGGCGGCCAGCAGGGCGCCGCCCGCGGCCGCCGCCACCCGGCTGTACCGCACGTACGTCTCCAGCAGCGCCAGCGCCACCAGGCGGTGCTTGGCAGCCGGCACGTCCGCCTGCGCGCGGGGGCGGTGCCAGGCAGGCGGGCGTGGTGTGGCTGAGTCGCACCTCGGCAGGGGTGGGTGGCCGCCACACCCCGGCTCCAGCCCAGCCAGCGGCAGGCCATGCAACCTCGCAAGAGGCAACAAACAAGCAGACGTGCAGCAGCGCGCGGCGCCCACGTTCCTCCGCCGCCGCCCCCCGCTTGCCTGCATGACCCCCGCCGCCAGCTGCGCCAGCACGCCGCTGCCGGGCCGCATGTCCGTCTCTGGCGCCGCCTCCCCCAGCTGGTACAGCAGGCTGACGGCCACCTCCACATCCTGCCAGGGCGGCGCGCCCGCGGCGGCGCCCCGCCCCCCCGCGCACGACAGCGCGGCCGACAGGCGGGCCCCCACAAAGGCGTAGCCCTGGGGCCGCGCCAGCGCCGCTGTGTTGCGGAACAGGGTGAAGAGGTCCTGCCGGCGGTCCGCCATCGCGCTCTCCTCCTCCTCCGCCGCCACCCTGCGCGCGGGCGAGCGGGCGGGGCAGGGCGGCGAGGGGACGAGGCGGGGGTCGGTGCCTGGGGCGGCTCACAGAGGCAGGCAGAGGCCCGGGTGCATCCGCACCCACACCCGCCCCGCACCTCCCAGCGCGCTCGCCCCTCGGCGCACGCCATGCGGTGGCCCCCACCACACGCACACACACACACTCGCATACATCACCCCACACGCACCGCCACCGCCGCTGCCACTGCCGCCCCCCCCAGCAGCCCACCTCTCTGTGGCGGAGGCGGCGGCCACCTCGTACGCCGCCGAGCGGTCGGGGAAGCGCGCGCAGGCTGCCAGCGCGTCGAGGATGGCGGGCAGGTGGGCGGCAGCGTCGGCCGGCAGCACGCCGCCGGGCGCACGCTTGTGCGCGGCGCGCAGCCGGGCCACGTACGCCAGCAAAAAGGGAACCACCGCGGCCGCCACCTCGTCGCTGCCGGCCCGCAGCGCGGCCAGCACGGCGGGGAAGAGGGCGTCGAGCAGGGCGGCGGCTGCGCGGCACGCCGCCGCCGCCTCCCCCGCCGCCTCTGAGTCCACGGCCAGCCCCACCGCCGCCATGCTGACCACGCTGTTCTCCACTTTCTTCCACGCCTCCAGCACCTCGGTGGCCAGGGCAGCCAGCAGCCTGGCCGGCGGGAGGGAGCGCAGCGAGGACAGGGGGACCGTGAGGGTGGGAGGCAGGGGCGGCGGCTGCGCGCGCAAGGATGCCCCCCCTGCCAGGCTGTCTGCCGTGCCAGGCTGCCTGCCGTGCCAGGCTGCCGCCTCCCTCCTGCCCCAGCCCCTGCCATGCCGCCCCCACCCCGCACCCCGCACCCCGCGGCGCCACCCCACCTCGCATACTTGGCCGCCAGCTCCGGCTCCTCATCCACAGCGGGCAGCCCCGCCTGCCAGCGCGCGCACACGGGCACCACCCCCAGCCGCTGGATCAGCTCCAGCTTGGGCGTGGCCTCCATGCGCTTGCTGCAGGCAGGGTGGGGAGCCGCGGCCGGCGGAGGTGTGCAAGGCGGGGAGCATGGCGGCGGCGGGGCGGCGGCGGCGCGGCAGAGGGCTGGGGTGGAGGTAGGGGCGCCACTGGCGCAGCGCCCTGCCGCCAGCTGAACGCAGCGGGCTGCCCAGATCCGGCAGCGGCAGCGGCGGGGCGGCGACGGCAGCGCCAGAGGCGGCAGGGGGACCGACAGCAGGCAGCGGCGGCCCCTCCCCCACACCACACCACACCACACCACACACACACACACACACACACACACACACACACACCTGACAATCTCGGTGAGCACGTCGGCGGCGGCGCCGCGCAGCGCCTCCTGCGGCGCCCCCAGCACGCGGAACAGCAGCGGCACGAACGTGTCGTTGGCCACCAGGCCGATGTCTATCCAGTGCACATAGCGCTGCACCGTCTCCAGCACCGCGGCCGCCGTGTCTGGCGCGGCGGCGTGGCAGGCGGCCACCACGGAGCACCAGGCGGCGGCGATGTCGCCCAGCGCCCGCTCCCGCATGCTGTCCTTGAAGTGCATCGAGCGCTTGGCCTCCTCCGCTGAGCGAGGCACGTCCAGGCTGATGATGTCCTGGTCCACGGAGGACAGGATCCTGTGTGTGTAGGGAGTGGGTGGAGGGGGGTGTTAAAAGGGAAGGAAGGGGGGGCACCGGCGGGGAGCCCCCGGGGCTGCCGCTGGCATGGCATGCGGCGGGCGCGGCACCGGCACCCTGCGTGGATCCCTTGCGTGGACCCCCTGCCACCACCAGCACGCTACATACACGCGCACGCACACACGCGCGCACACACGCATGCGCCGCACCTGCAGAAGAGGTCGACGGCGGCGGGCCCCTGGCCCAGCGTGCCCAGCAGGTCCTGGAAGAAGGAGGGCCACTCATCCGGGTACTCCTGCCCCGCGATGGCCACAATGGCCTGCGCCACCTTGTTTTTCAGAAAGGCGGGCAGCGCGGCAGAGGCGGGCGAGGCGCCGTGCTGGATGAGGGCGCGCTTGAGCGCGGCGCGCGCGTCGGGGGGCAGCGCGCGGTAGCCGCCCCGCGCCAGCTGGCTCAGCGCCTGCGCGCACCAGAACCGCACCTCCACGTACTGGCTGCTGTCGAAGCGTGCCAGGCACAGCTGCCAGCTGTCGGGGGAGGCCTTGACCTGCGCCAGGTACGCCTCCGCTGCCGCCCGCACCCCGCCATCCACGCCGCCGCTCTGGTCAAAGGTCAGCAGAATGGCCTTCTCAAAGTCGTCCATGCCAGGCTAGCTGCGCGCCAGGCGCGTGGGGGCACGCGACCCCGCAGCCTTCCCTGCAGCCAGCGGGGTCGCAGGGGAGGGCGTCACAAGGGAGGCAGGCAGCAGGAAGGCGGCTTGTGAACAGGCGGCAGGTGTCACCGCCGTCGCCCGCCCGGAGCAGCAGCGGGTGCGGCACGCTGGGCCCCTGCTGACAGTGACAATAACGAATCGCCGTCTGGCGACTGGAAGCAGATACGCAGAGCACAAGCCAGCAGCGGGCCCTGAGCCGAGTGATGGACAGCGGGTGTCGCCCGCAGCAGTTTCCAGACAACATCAGCAATCTCCATGAGCTGCGAAGCTCGTTTCAAGGGCCACCAGCACGGCAGAGGCGCATGCAGCACCCCTCGCCTCGCCGACACCCCACAGAGGGGCAAAGGGCGCCGCCCCTCTCATGCATTCACCTGGGCAACCCTGGGGTGTGCAAAACTGCTGCGGAACGATTGACTTGGTGATGTCTCGGGTAGGGGACGTCGCGGTGAGGCTCTAAGGCCCTTTAGCTGAGCAGAACGATACAGATGATATGCTACACGGTGTGGGATTGATGGCGCAAACAAAGGGCTAGCTGGAGGAAGAGTGGCGGCCCGGCGGTACGACGCCGCCCGCTGTACCGTCGAGCGATGGCGGCAGACGCACAGGAACAGAGCTGGGCAAGCGCAGAAGGGGCAGGGAAGTGCAGAAAGGTGGTGTTGGCATGATAAACCTTTACAGGGCATGCGGCACCACGGCCACCGGGATGCTGCTCCGATGGACGACCGCCTTGGTCACGCTGCCCACCCACATCTCCCTCAGCTTGCCCTTGCTGTGGCGCGCCATCACAATGGCCTGTGCATCCACATCCTGCACAGGCACGGGCAAGGCGGGGCACGCATGGCGGGATGTTCTCAGGCTCCGATCCGCTGCCCACGGGAGCCGGGCAGTGTGGCCAGTAGGCCCCACCTGCGCCTTCTTCAGTATCACGCCCGTCACACTGTCTGTGTCTGTGGGGCCCACGATGACATGTAGCTTGAAGGCAATCTGCAACGGGAAAGCGGCAACATTGAGGGCGGCTGGCAGAGGTGGAGGCGCGGGCTCGGCAAGCCGCCGCACACACACCTTGGCCGCAATCAGTTTTTTTGCAAAACGATGAGAGACAAACAGCTTGGTGTCCTCCACCTCGATAAGCTCAGCATTCTCATCTGCAGGAGAGGGCAGAGGTGGGATGGGGCAGACAAGGCAGGGACATAAAGAAGCCGCAGAGAGAGACCTGATGTTAACAGGCTGCTGATGTTTACAGGTGCGGGCCTGGTGTTGCATGCCGCAGCTGGTGTTCACTCAACTGGCGGGATGTATGTCCCAGCCCATAGGTGCAGCATCTGCAAGTGTCAGGGGCGGTAGGAGGCGGCAGTGCTGTGCGGCACATGCAAGGGAGAAGAGCCGCCTGCTGCGGGCTGAGAACCTCCCCATCCATGAAAAATCTGTCACCACAGACACCACATTCAATCGCGGCCAGTCACCTGCGGCTCTGGGACCACATGCAAGAGGTGGAAGACGCTGCCCTTGCCAAGCATCGCTATCGCCCACTCAATCGCCTGCACAAGGCAACCCGAGACTGGTCATCCTACTTGGCGCCCGCTCCCCCCAAGTGCTCAACCTTTCTCTGGCGCTACTCTAGCCCACCTGCTCGCTGTCATCCGTGTCATCACTGCAGCAAGCAGATGGAAGGGAATGCTGGTGTGGGTGGTGCCTGGGCAGCAATGGGTAGCAGGCTGCTGGGCTGCCCCGAGCCCCAAACAATGCCACTGGGGTCCTTTCCACGCAAAGGTGCCTGGTCTGCTTCTGTCTCCACGTGGTTGACTTACACTGGGATGAGGAAGTGCCGCCCCTCTGCCCCTGATGATCTATCTACTGAAAGCAGCGGTCGATGAGCCTCGGCGTGCTGCGGTGCCTGCGGCAGCGCCGGCGGGCGTTGCAGAGGCCCGCCACCCTTTCTGTATTGCACAAGGCATGTGCCCACACAGCATTCCAAAGGGAGGGCAGGGCTGAGGCACACAGCAGGGTGAAAGGTGAGTGTCGGCGCCCTCACCTCGCTGGGTCCTGGCTCAGTCATCTCCTGTGCGGACACTGTCTCCTCCGTGGTCATGTCGGGTTGGCTTGTGCAGCCCCCAGGGCTGCTCAGCGACATGTCGCCGCTGTGGCCCCGTCAGAGCCTTGCTGGACAACCTTCTACCGGACCCACCACTTGACGTAGTGCTCTCCATCTGCCTCAGTGTCTGGAGAGCGCTGAGGGCAAGGGAGCAGGGCCAAAGTTCAAGCGCCAGCATTGGCGTGCATGACTTCTCGCACAACACCCCAGCAAGCCCAAGGCGTCGAGCATGATGGCTCGTGAGGTGAGCAGCCGCCGCGTTTGTGCCGGCAGCCCTGGCCGCCGCCAACCTCTCGGGACCACAGCTGCACCACCCAGCTGCGTGCATGTCTCGCCCCTTGACCACTGCAGGGCGATCCACTGGCACCACAGCCCAAATGTGCGGGTGGGGTGGCCCCCGCTCCGCCAGCACCGGCGGCGCCACCCACGCTCCAACCGGCAGTTGCCGCCGCTCGCCCTGGTGCGTGGGCTTGACGTCAGATTGAGCAGCTGTGTGGTATTGCTGTTGCTGAGTGGGTGGTGCTTTTATGGCCACCCATCCCGCGTGGCAACGTCCTCGCACCCTGTCGCAGTGGCTTTAAGGCCTGCTGGCGTTGTGCCTGCGCTCGCGTCCGCTCCAGCACCCCCAGCAGCAGCAACCAGGCCCGCCCAGCCGCTGGCAGCGCCATCGCCCAGCAACCCAGCCCCGCTGGCAAACTTTGCGGCGAACGCTGGGATGCATACCGCCGGCCCGCGGCCCGTGCCTTGGCCCGGCGCCGCGCCTAGGCCGCCGGGCGCGCCAGCCCACGCCCCCTCCTTCCCGCGACTAGCCGGGCTGCCGCTGGGCCAGCCACGCGCGCCTGGCAGTGCCTTGCCCATACCGTGGGCGGTGGCGGGGCCGCCAGCACCCACCCGCCCCACCCCCCTGCTGCCCCTGCCAATCCCGCTCGGCATGGGCCCCGCTGCGCTGAGCGGCGCCGCCGCCCCCGCGTCAGCGGTGCCGGCGCTGCGGCCGGTCTCCAGGCCAGCGGGTGGAGGTCCGCAGGTGCCGCAGCAGGGCATGGCAGCAGGGCCGGCGACTCAGAGCCCAAGCCCGCTGCTGGCGCCCACCAGGCCCCAGCCGCTCGTGCCCGCCATGCCCGCGGCAGGAGCGGCAGCAGCGGTGCCGCCGCCGGCGGGTTCGGCTGCCGTCCCCGGCGCCGTGCTGGGCATGAAGCGGAAGGCGGACGCAGTGCAGCAGGGGCAGCCGGCACGCATCCTGCCCGTCCCCGGCATGCCGGCAGTCGGCGTGCCCATGCTGCCGCACCCGGCAGCGGCTGCCACCGCTGTGGTTGGCCAGCCGATCGAGACGGTGGCGGGCGCGGGGCTGCTGCCGCCGCCACCCCACCCGTCTCCAGGCCACGGCGGCAGCGCCCAGACGGACGGCGGCTCCAGCGACGACGACGAGGCGCCTGGTGCGGGCGCCGGCGGCGAGGCGCAGGCCAGCGAGGCTGCCTCTGCTGCTGCTGCTGCAGGTGGGGCTCTCCGCTGTGCAGCGATGCGTGATGGCAGACAGCTGGGGTCCGTAGCCGAGCGGGGGAAATTGCGCGTGTCGGCTGCCTCCCTTAGCCTGGCGCCCAGCCCTGCTCCATGCTGTCCGCCCCTTTGTTCCCACAGCAGCGTCGGCGGCGGCTGGCGGCGAGGTGCATGGCGGGCACAACAGGAAGGCTCGGCTGGTGTGGACCCAAGAGCTGCAGTGAGTGCCTCGCAGCAAGCTGCTCCCCTTGCTGCACCTGCGCTGCCTTGCCGCGTGGGCAGCGCTGGTGCAGCAGTGTGCTGGGAGGCCCTGCGCCGGCCGGCCGCCAACTGCAACCCCACCGCCACCCCGCTGCCTGCAGCAATCGCTTCATCAACGCCCTCAGCCACCTGGTGAGCGCCCCCTGCTTGCTGCCAGCGGAGTGGAGCAGCGCTCAGCGCGTCTCATGGCGGGCTGCGGGTGCGGGCAGCCCCTGGCCACGCGCCTTGCAGCCCGGCTCACCCTTCCATGCCACACGTGCCTCCCGCCGTTTGGCCGCCCGCACGTGCAGGGCCTCAAGAATGCTGTGCCCAAGAGCATCCTGGCGATGATGAACGTGGATGGCATGACGCGGGAGAATGTGGCCAGCCACCTGCAGAAGTACCGCCTGTACCTGCGCCGCTTGGGAGGGCTGAGCGACAAGGACCGCGCCGATGCGGACGCGCTGCAGCGCCTGCACGAGGTGGGGGGAGGAGGGCGGGGCGGCTCAAGGCAGGGGCATGTAGGGAGGTGCAGGCAAGGGGTGGCGCATCGTGGCAGGCGAGGCTCTTGCCACTCCAATGCGCAGCATGCACCACAGGCGGCTGGGCATTGCGGCCCAGCAGAGAAGCGAGTGCGCTGCGTTCACCCCGGCCCCATCTCTTCCCCATCCCTTCCCTCCTCCCTGTGTGCGGCTGCAGCAAAACGTGCAGGCCATGGCGGCCCAGCAGATGCTGCAGCACAGCCTTGCGGCCATGCAGGGCCCGCCTGCGGGCGTGCTGGCAGCCATGGGCATAGGCGGCTATGCATATGAGCACCAGGCCGGGCAGGTGCAAGGGCAGCCGGCTGCAGCCGCTGGCGGTGGAGCAGCAGCGCCCATGGGGCCTCAGCAGGCCGGCGCTCTGGCCGCCCCGCTGCCTCTGAAGGTGGGGGAGGTTGGCGGCGGCGCTGCTGCACCTCCCAGCAGCGGGCTGGCCAGCCTGGCCAACCTCGCTGCCGCCGGGCTGGCCGACCTAGCCGCCGCTGCTGCTGGCTCGGGGGCAGCAGGCACAGGCGGCAGCAGCAGCAGCTCCCCGCCTCTACCAGCAGCAGGTGCAGGCGCGGTGGCTGGCCCCGGGCCCAGACCCGTGCCTGGCATCCAGGGGGTGCCGCTGGCCGCCAGCCTGGACCTTGCTGCACCACCTGTGCAGCCAACCTGGGCCGGCGAGCACGCGAATGGCAGCCGCGCCGTTGCTGCAGCTGCGCCCAGCTTGCCGGGCCCTGGCAACACAGCAGCACCTGCTTTTGGCACTGGGGCAGATGGTGACGCCAACGGCACGGCCCACTCACACCATCTTGGGCCCCGCGCTGCGGCTGCGGCTGATGGCGCCGCAGGCAAGCCTACCCCTGCTGCCGTGATCTGGGCCACTGCGCCCGGCACTCCGCCAGAGTAAGCTGCTGTTAGGACTGCCGGCTGCCATGGCAGAGCACAACGCATGCCTTCACTCCCGCCAAATGAACGACTAGGACCCGCACCTCGCCCACGCCGACGCACGACTCCCTGTGATGATACGACCTGCGATTGCACCCTGCGGAGCGATCGCCAAGACCTACTTTGTCCGACGATGCTGTTGATACTCATGTCTGCCGTGTCTGCCGTATACCTTCCCCTCATCTCCTTCTGAACTGTTCTGTTGAGCCTCCCGCAGACTGCCTGTTTTGCTGCTTTGCGCTCACCTTGCCTGGCCGGCCCCGGCCCTCCCTGCCGCCGGCCCTGTACTCTGTACCCTGAACACTCGCGCTGTACATCGTTTGCCGCTGCATCTTTACCAGCTGTAACATAGTCCAAAACATACATACCATGGGCAGAGGTGGCTGGGCACCTGGGGCCTGCGAGGAGGAGGCGCGGCGACGGCGAGCGGCGGGTGGGCGGCGGGTGGGCAAACCCAGCCAGCCTGCATTGGAGCCCCCCGCCTCTGGCAAGCTCGATCGCTCACTGTTCATGCAATTTGGCATGCCCTGAGCTCGCGGAGGGCTGAAGCAACGCCGTTTGTCATACGTGAAGGCACAGCAGGCATCGCAGGTGGGACACGCAGCCTCTGTAGGACATCTCAAAAGTAGAGGAGACCGATCGCACGTCCTCATAACTGTCGCTCGCTGCTTGCTGTTTGCCCTCGCCTCCTCCCGCCGTCAACCCAAACCCTTGCAGCACCTCCGGAGGCCGGTTGAACGCAGCAGCGGGTGAGCATTCACTTGACATTGCCAGATTGCGTTCTGCGCATTTCCATACCTGCTGCGCGGCCAATGCAAGTGTGGCGCTGGGCAGCAGGCCACTGAAGGCACCAGGAGGCAAAGTTTGTCACCCTCTTCAGCTCGGCCCCCGAGCTGGCGTGCCCGCGGGCAGGCCCCTTGGCTTGCTTTGCAATGTTCGACATCAACAGCCGCAGCCAGGGAGGTGGCGGGGTTACAGATGACTTCAGGGCTTCATCACGTCGAGGGATGTTTGGCCCACTGAAACACCCCCTCCCGCCTGCAGCATCATGCAGGCAGCGTCGATGAAGGCAGCCAGCATCGTGGCGGCGCCCCAGGCGGTTCGTGCCCGTCGAGCCGGCCGCACCGCTGGCGGCGTCAGGGTCGTGTCGCGCGCCAGCGCCACCCTGGACAGCACCCTTGCCAGCGACCACTGGAGCGGCGGCAGCCCCCTCATCCTGCCCAACGGCACGGTGAGCAGGCCAAATGCTCGTGGTGTTTTGCGAGGAAGTGCGTGCTTTGTGAAAGAGTCCGCAATGCTGCCCCGCCCACCCGCACCCTCCCGCCGCTCCGTGCCTGCAGGTCACCCACTCCGCCACCCAGGACCAGCTGGAGGTGATCCAGACCCTCCAGCCCATGTTTGAGGAGCACATCCTGCCCCTGCTGACCCCCGTGGAGGACCTCTGGCAGCCCTCCGACTTCCTGCCCTCCTCCCAGGACCCAGACCAGTTCTACCAGGAGGTGAGCTGGGGTGGCATGAGTGCAAGTGGTGGGGCTGAGGCTGGCGGGGAACCAGGCACGAGCAGAGACCCCCCCCCGAGTATGTACAAAGGGGAGTGCTTGCGGGGCTGCTGCAGCCCTCTCCCTGCCCACCCTGCCGCCTGCCCCCGCCCCGGCCTGCAGATCACCGAGCTGCGCGAGCGCGCCGCCGAGCTGCCCGACGAGCTGTTTGTGTGCCTGGTGGGCGACATGATCACGGAGGAGGCGCTGCCCACCTACATGGCCATGCTCAACACCCTGGACGGCGTGCGCGACGAGACGGGGCGCAGCCAGCACCCGTACGCGCAGTGGACCAGGTGCGGGCGGCGCACTCGGCGGCCACACACGGCCTGCCCCGCGGCTCGTCCTTGCCTTTGCTGCTGCCGCCGCTGCCACCCGTGCCTCACGCCCGCCCTGCCCGCCCCGTGCAGGCAGTGGATTGCGGAGGAGCACCGGCACGGCGACGCGCTGGGGCGCTACCTCTACCTGTCTGGGCGGGTGGACATGAAGCAGGTGGAGCGCACCGTGCAGCGCCTGATCAGCGCCGGTATGGACCCGCGCTCCGAGAACCACCCCTACCTCTGCTTCGTCTACACATCCTTCCAGGTGTGTGTGTAGGGGGGGGGGAGAGGGGCTTGTGAGGAGGGAAGGGCCCTGGGGTGGCTGATCAGCCACCGGTGGCACCGCTCTCAAGCGGCCAGCAGGCTGATTCACTCCCTGCGCCTGCCTGCCCGCCTGCCTGCCCCCCCCCCCAGCACCACCACCACCACCGCCACACACAGGAGCGCGCCACCAAGGTGTCCCACGGCGGCACCGCCCGCATCGCCAAGGCCTGCGGCGACGAGCCGCTGGCCAAGATGGCCGGCCTGATTGCGGCGGACGAGAGCCGGCACGAGGCCGCCTACACCCGCACCATGGATGCCATCTTCAAGGCGTGAGTGGAGGGGAGGGGGGCAAGAGGGGGCAACAGCCCGGGGCCGTGGCAGCGGCACGCCCCGCACGTGCTTTAGAGGAATGGAAACGAGTGCAGGCTGCCTGTGGTCTCATGCCCACCCATGGTCTCATGCACAGCCACGTGTTCCAACCCCGCTCGGCGCTGCTGCCTCCCCGCCGCGCCTCCCTGCCGTGCAGCGACCCCAACGGCGCCATGCTGGCGTTTGCAGACATGATGCGCAAGCAGATTGTCATGCCGGCGCACCTGATGGACGACGGGCGGCACGGCGAGCTGAACAACGGGAGGAACCTGTTTGAGGACTTCTCGGGTGGGTGCGGGCTGTGCTGCCGGTACAGCCGCTGCAGGCTGCCAGCCGGGGCCCCAGCCTGGGCTGCGGTAGCTACAGCCGGCGTGCGTTGTTGCCGCCCTTCCACCACGCCCTGCTGCCCCAGCCGCACCCACCCTCGTCCCTCGTGTGGCCCCTGCAGAGGTGGCCGAGGGGCTGGGCGTGTACACCGCCATCGACTACTGCAAGATCATGGAGCACCTGATCCAGAGGTGGGGGGCTGGTGGTGGGGCGGGGGTGGTGCAGGCCGACCCCACACTGCAGCAGAGCCCACAGACCGTACACCTGCCCGGGCCGTGCCTGCCACAGGTGGCGGATCGCAGACCTGACGGGGCTCAACCCCAAGGCTGCCGACGCCCAGGAGTTTGTGTGCAACCTGCCTGCCCGCATCCGCAAGCTGGCGGAGCGCAAGGCTGGTGAGTGGGAGCAGGGGCCGGGGCACGGGCCAGCAGCAGCTGTGCACAAGGTTGGCAAACAACTGCGGTTCCACACCCACCGCTGCCCGCGCCCCCTCCCTGTGCCTGCCTGCAGTGCGCAAGGCCAAGGCCAAGAAGACTGCCGTCCAGTTCAGCTGGCTGCACGACCGCGCCCTGGCCGTCTAAGCAGGTGGCTGGCGGGTGCCTCAACTGCCCCCACTGTACATTGGACGCTCTGGCCCTGGCGAGCAATCACCATCATACACATCAGCATTTGCCCTTTTGTTTCCCAACACCCTCACTGATACGATTCAGCCATCCGCTGATGTGCGGCATGGCTTTCCTTTTCAATTTGCCCTTGTCCCCAGCCCAGCTGCGATCACCTGCCAAACCCGTCCTTGATCTCAAACGACTCAATTTCAAAAACGATTTCACAACCCCAGCCTGAGTGTGTTCTCCACACGCATGTGTTGCATGCGTGTAAGTTGTGCAACTGTGGCCAAGAGCAGAGCAGAGAAGGAGGATGGGATACAGCGGCAGCAGGCAGCAACATCAGCAACAGCTTCGTAGGGGTGTCACGTCTTGGGCGCCTCCTGCTGCTTCCGCTTCTTGCCCTTGTTCCCCTTGCCTTTTCCAGACTTCCTGCCCTCCCCCTCGTCGTCCGAAATCACCTCCTCCAGCAGATCCACTGCACGGGGTTGGGTGGGGGTTGGGTGGGGGAACCGGCAACCCGCCCAAAGCAGACAGCAACACGATTCGTCTTGTTGTGCCACAGGCGCGCCGCCGACGCCGCCGCCTGCCGCCGCACCTTCCTCCAGGCTCATGTTCTTCTGCTTCAGGAAGTCGGTCATGAAGGCCATGGTCTGCTGCTTGAGCTTGGAGATGTTGTCAGACGTGGTGCCTGCAAGATGCAGTTTGCAGCGGTTGGACGTGTGCCAAGTTCAGTGGGCGGCAGCCAGCCACAGCCACAGCAAGTGATGTGCTGCACCCTCATCATCTGACATCCGAGCTTGCCTGTGCTGGGCAGGCTGACTTGGAGCAGGCGCTCGGTGCCGCAGCAGACGACCGCCTCGACCGCCCCTGGCGCCGCCGCCATGTGGGGTGTGGCCTTGCTCCAAGTGGCCGCTCTGGGCGATTCACTTTCCGCTGCTGATCCGCTGTTACGTGCCAACGAGCGAGGAGGGTGCTCGATTCCCCCTTGGTGACGATATTTCAGTGGCAAACGTCTGTGTATGGCGAGGCTTGAGGGTGCAGCAGTTAGCGCAGATGATGGCGTGGACATTGCTGTTGACCATGCACGGCCCAGGGCGCAGTGCTTCAGGCCCAGCATGCACGCCTTGCCTCGCATTGACTTCCAAATCTCGGCTCCCCTGCTTCCCGCAGCTGCTACATCCTGCTGACCACTGCCAAGTCACATCGCGGTGTGCTCGGGACAGAGAACCATCGGTTCTGTGCGGCATGGTGTTGGACTGGGCCAGCTCGGGCAGCGGAGAGTGCACCATCACCCTGCAAGACGCCCAGCAGCTCGCGGTCGACGCGGGGTTCACGTACAAAGGCGATCATGGCGGCCTACCACTTGCACGCCGGGCAGACCTGCAGGGTGAGCGCCGGCTGGGCTGGTGACAAGCCTGCAATACTGGCACGTGCCCTGCCCATCCCCTTTGGGCTTCCATGATTCCATCCAGTGAGTTGCTCCCCTTTTCCTGCAGCAATGTTTGAGCACTTCAACGTGAACACCCTCTCTGCATTCCGACACCTCTTTTGGACTCATCAGCTGCAGCCAGCATTGATCCGCGGAGCAAAGAGCACGGGTACAGCAATCCCCCGCTCCTCTGCTGCCAGTCCAAGCCGGTGGCAGGTGCAGCAGCACGAGGAGGAGATCTATGTTGGAGAGGTGCTGGATGGCAAGCGCCAAGGAATGGGCATTCTGCTGGGCAAGGTGGGCGGCTGCATGCGGCGCTCGTTCCATGGCGGCAATGGCTTGTAGATGCACTGCGGTGGATGCCGTAATGGCCTGTCATGCCACTGCCGGTTCATGCAGGGGGGCCACTCCTGGCTGCTCTATGTTGGCCAGTTCTCAAAGGGCAGGCGCAGCGGGCTGGGCGTAGCGGCATCGTCCCGTGGCGAGCGCCTAGCGGGGCATTGGCATGAGGATGTGCCCTGGGGGCCTGGGGTCTACACTTACGCCCAACCGGCCTCGCCAGGTGGTAGCCACGGCGAAACGGGCGGCGCAGCCAGCAGCAGCGGAGCAGCAGCGGGCGCAAGGTGGCGGTTGCGGTTTGAGGGCATTCTAAACGGCCGGCCACAGGGCAAGGGCTGCATGACATGGAGCGACGGCAGCCAGGAGATGGGCAGGTGCGCCGAGGGAAGGGCTGGGAAAAGGGGGCTGCACAACCTAGTTCTGGTGGTGCATGGCCACTTATGCGGGCCAACCCCACGCACTACTCCTCCCACCCAGCCCCTGCCTGCTTCGCTTGTATGTGCAGATTTGACGGCAACAATTGCTCCCAAGCGCTTGATGAGGCCGACGACATCAGCAGGGTGCTGGCGGTGGCTGCCGAAAATGCACGGAGCGCTCGTGCCGCGGCGGAGGCGGCACAGGAGGCTGCGCTGCAGCAGGAGCTGCACGTAATGCGGCAGGCACAGCAGCTTCTGGACAGGATTGCGCTGTTCCCCAAAGAGCAAATGTAATTGGTCGGATCCACAAGCCCACCCACAACGGTGGAGGGGCGGTGGTGCCCCATGCCGCCGCCACAGCATGCAGGCCACGCCCGCCTGGTCTGTTGGCCTCGGTCATTTCCTGCCATTGAGATGCAGGGCTGCAGCCATGTTGCTGCGGCAGGCTTGCCGAAGGCTCAGCACCTCCGCCTCGGCCTTGCTCCAACAGGCAGGCGCTGGGCCTGGCGCTCAGCTGGATCTGTTCGATGGGTGAGTGCCATTGATTTGCTGCAGGAGGGCAAGAGGTAGGGCTGTTCCCCGACACGCCGATCGGCGTTTTCCGTGCTACCCACCTGCCGCTGCAGGCCATTGAAGACGCTACACCGCGATCGAGCTGCCAGGAGCCCCCTGGCGCCCGACCCACTGGTGGTGAGGCGGGCGCCGCCGCCGCCATCTTCCGCCGCCATGGCCGTCCAGCGTCCACCGCCCACCCCATCCTCGTGTGCTGCACTGCCTGCAGGACGAGGTGGTGGACCGCCTGCTGGACCGGCTGGAGGACTGCCGGCGCAGCTTTGAGACGGCGGTGATTCTGGGTGGCGCGGGTGCCAAGGTGGCCGAGCGGCTGGCAGGCGGGCGGGCGGGCATCAAGGTGCGGGCTGCATGCCGTGGCGCACTCTCCACCCCTCCTGCCAGAACCTCCCTTGACCCATACCTCCTTGGTCTCACGCAGTGCAGGAGGTGGTGCATGTTGACACATCGGAGGCGATGCTGGAGCGATCACGGTCGCACGCAGAGGCCTCCAGCAGCGGGCGGCAGCACCCCGACACCCGCTACGTGCACTGGCCGCCCGCCTCCGAAGTGCTCCCGCTGGAGCCCGCCAGCGCCGACCGTGAGCTGCAGCTGCAGTCATGCCTGGTCGCTCTTCCTGCGTCCCCGCAATGTCATGCAGTGCTGGCGGCAGCTTGAGCTGACTGCCTTCCCCCGGCCTGCCGCAGTCGTCATCTCGTGCCTGGGCCTGCACTGGGTGAATGACGTGCCGGTGAGGGCTGCGCCAGCTGCTGCACGCTCCTTGTCACACATGATGCACGCCGCGCACTGCATTTTGGCACATTGCCTCACCTTCCGGAAATTGGTCGGGCGACGGAGCGATGCCGTCTCGGCTGTAAAGGCGGAAGCAGATCAACAGCCCCAGCGGCCGGGCACCCGTCTGAACAGTTTTGCTGCGTCAAGCACAACAGCAAAGCTACGGCGGGTTCCATATTGCCTTGGCATGCCATGCATGCATGCCATGATGCACCCACGCATTCCATCATGCATGGGAAGGGCGGTTGCGGCCTGCCTACGGCTTCCACTCGCAGCTGGCACAGGGTGCAGGATTGCGCTTCTCAGGCCCACCTGCGTGCTCCTCTTGGCTGGACGCAGGGCGTGATGGCGCAGTGCCGGCATGCGCTCAAGCCAGACGGTCTGCTGCTGGCGGCCATGTTTGGTGGGCACACGCTGCAGGTGGGGCGATGCTTGCTCCCGCAACTTCCGCCACCGCAGGCAGGGATTCCTGCTTTTCAGTGCGCCTGCCGCCTCCGCCCCTTGCTGCCCCGCCAGCGCAGGAGCTGCGCATCGCATGCACCGTGGCGCAGCAGGAGCGGGAGGGCGGCGTGTCGCCGCGAGTCTCGCCGCTGGCGCAGGTGACCGGCTGGATGCACCTGTGCCAGAGATGCGGTGCGAGGCACAGGCGCGGCAGGGGTGTCATCTGCGCCCTATCATGCCTTGCTGCTGGGCACTGAATTCCGTGTGCCCTCACCTTTGCCTGCCTGCCCGCCTGCCCACCTGCCGCCTCTCTCTCCTTGCTGGCTGTCAGGTGCGGGACGCAGGCAACCTGCTGACGCGTGCGGGGCTGGCCATCCCGGCGGTGGATGTGGATGAGATCCAGGTGCACTACGCCGATGCGGTGCAGCTGGTGCAGCACCTGAGGTGAGGCGACAGCCTGCACTGGATTGATGGGGGGCGCAGAAGCAGCGTCAGCATTGCGCTAGGTGCCACAGGTCACTGGGACAGGAGCACAGCTCCAGCTGGCTTGGTATCTGGTGGGGGCCACCTACCCGCTGCCTACCCACCAACCACGCCGGTGGCGCAGGAGCATGGGGGAGTCTGGCGGGCTGATCAAGCGGCGCCAGGAGCTGCCACGCAGCGTGGCGCTGGCCACAGCAGCGGCGTATGCCGGGCTGTTTGAGGAGGAGGACGGCAGCCTGCCAGGTGCGCCTGCTGCGGCTGTGGCTGCCAGTGTCCGCGGGGGAACGGCAGCTGCCTGCCTGCGTGGACCGCTAGGTGGCAAGGTCATGATGCCGGGCAGGCGAGTGTGGTGTCGGTGATGGGCGGTGTGCTGCCGTGCAGCCACCTACGAGGTCATCTACATGACGGGCTGGGCGCCACACCCGTCCCAGCAGCAGCCCGCCAAGCGGGGGTCGGCGACGGTGTCGTTTGAGGACTTGGCCAGGGACTTTGGGGAGGGCGGCGGCGGCGGCGGCGGCGGCCAGGGTGGTGCCCAGAGCGGCAGCGGCGGCAGCAGCAGCAGCAGCAGGCCGCCAGATTGATGCTGCATTTTGGGCTGTCCAGATGTAACTGTTGGAAACGTGAAGATGCCCAGGAGGAAAGCAGGGCGCTGGCTTTGTGCTCAGAGCCAGCCTGCCCAAGACATTCAGGGCTTTGCAGCATGTGCGCCCATCCACTCCCAGCTGGACCAGTTGCTTCAGTGCACTTGCAAGGAAAACATTGGCAAGGGGATGGGTGGGCGATCATTTGGAAATGCGATAGCAGCACATCATGGATAGGTGGGGGGGCCAGGAGATGTAACGAGTGCGATAACATAAGATGGGCATGCTTCCAGTACAGGAAGAAAGGGAGCGGGTAGCGAGCAAGCAAGGTACAGGGGGATCATGGGATGGCCAAGGGGACTTCGAAGCACGGCGGACGCTCAGGGAGAGGGGCGAAACAGTGTAAGTATGCATGCACGCAGCGCATGCAAGGCCCGAGGGCGCGCGATCATTTGCGGGGTTTCACAAAGGCACATAGCTAACCGCACCGCCTGCCATGCTGCCAATCAATGGTAGATGACAAGGCAGGCTTCATGATGTAGGCAGCAGGGGGGCTTGCTGCTCACAGACGCGGCGAGGGACAGGCCCAGCCAGTATGATGGGCGGCTTCAGTCGACATAATCCTCCACCTGCAGCCAAGATGGGGGCGGCAGCAGACACACAGACACATCCACCTTAAGGGCTTCCTGCCTTGCGTCGCTCCCTGCAGCCTGCCACAGGCCCATGTACGGCGCATGCGCTGACGCAGCCATGCATGGAGCGCCCCTTAAGGCCACAGACCAGCCACACCACACACCACACCACACACACACCGCACTGCACCCCAGCCGCGCCAGGCGCGCACCAGGTCGTAGTCGTCCTCCTTGAGCTCGCGGCGGAAGCGGCGCCAGCCCCCCGCCATCACGCACACCTCTGGGTGCGCGCCCCCCGCCTCCTCCATCCGCTCTGCCAGCCTGCAGCCGGCGGCAGCAGCGGGCCGTGCAGCGTGGGCGTGGAGAGGCAGGTGCAGGCCGCAGCAGGAACGGCACGCCAGCAGCAGGCAAGGGGCCGCCGGGTGCTCACCGCTGCGCGCAGAAGGGCCCCCGCTGCTGCGACAGGAAGCAGTGCAGGACCACGGTGTCCATGCCCTGGCAGAGCGCCACCAGCTCATCCACCCGGTTGTCGTCGCAAAAGGTCTCCGCCGCTGCAGGGCGGGGCGAAGCAGGGAGAGCGGCCACAGCATGACTTGCACGCGCGGAGCGGGTGGTTTGGAGGTTGGTGAGTCAGCCGGCGGTCAACCGCACGCGCGGCTGAGGCGAGCGCGCTGGACGCTCACCTATGTTAACAGCACCCCTGATGTGCCCTCCCGCAAAGTCGCTGTCCCTGACGTCGATGACCAGCACCTTGTCCTCGCCTCCCTCCGCCCTGCGAGGGACATGGGCGAGGGGGAGGGTGAGGCGTGGGAGTCGGCCCGCTGCAAGTGGCTGTACAGGAGCGGCGGCGGTGGCGCAGCCGTGCGCTGGCTCCCGCACTGCAAGGAGCTGCCCTCCAGTATGCACAACGTGATCCGACAGCGTATCGGTTTAAAGCTACGTCTCGGCGTTGGTCATCCCCTTGTACTCACCCTCGCAGCAGCGCCTTCACCCTCGCCGGAGCGAGGAGACCCACAGCCGCTGTCGTCGACATGGGCGGGTGCCGGTGGTGGTAGACAGAAACTTGCAGCAATCGTGGTGCTGGCTGGCTTGAAAGTCAAGCCTTGCTAGAAACGCAGCGAAGGGCAGGTTGGGCAAAGAGCAAGGAAACGATTGAACCACGGCAATTGATCTTGTCTGGGTCCTCATGCACCCGCCCGTCGTGCCTGCCGTGCCTGGCTGGCGGCGGGTTGCAAGTTGCAACACAGCGATTCTTTTGCAAGCTTTCTGCCCTCGTTCAAGGGTGCAAAGCGCCCGGCCAGGCAAGCAGGCCTGCTCAATCCTCGCCACTCTCCAACGCCTCGTCGTCGTTGAACACTGCCGGGTCGCCCTCGCTGGCGCTCGTGCTGTGGGGCGAGGCCCAGCCGCCACCAACATATCTGTTCAGGTCGTAATCCCCTCCCGCATCGCCATGTTCCGGCCTGCAGGCAGGGAAGGAAGCAGCACAGTGAGGCAACCTGGGCGTGAGCACGCTGTCAGCTCGCGCACTGCCCTTACCCGTAGCTCTCGCTGTCACTGGTGCCGTCAGACTCCTCATGTCCCTCCCCCCTGCCCCCCTCCTCTTCCCCCTCATCCGCCGGCGTGCCATCAATGCCGGCCGCAGCAGCATCCCCGCCGTGCCCTGCACCCCCAGCCGCGCCGCCTTCATCCTGCCGCGCTGCTACCGTGGCCGTGCCACGGGCTGCCTGTGGGGCGGCAGCAGGGGTGCCCACAGGCTGCGCGGGGCGGTGCTCCAGCTCCAGCTCCACCCCCCGCATGCTGCCCTCGCCTGGGGCAGTGGCATGCAGTTGAAGGGCGTCAGCAGCTGGGGTTGTGGGCAGTTTGCACGGCCAGTGCAGCAGCAGCGGCAGCATCAGAAGCGGCCGGAAGGCTGGCGCCGTGCCAGCTGCCCCGCATCAGAAGCGCCGCACCTTCGAAGTCGAGCAGCCAGTGCAGCGCCAGGGTGCGGCCGCCCCACTCTGGCCTCAGCATGATCTCGGCGTGGACCACAAAGAAGCCCCAGCCCAGGCGGCGCACCCTGAAGTTGCCTGGCTCACTCAGGACCAAGGTGCTGGGGCGGAAGGTGGGGTGCAGGTGCACAACCACTTGCTCAATGAACTCCCGCTCCTCCTCTGCATGCAGGCAGGGCAGGCCAGCCAGGTCACAGGTGTGAACATGGAGGCAGTGAGCAGAGCCCACCCATCTCTGAGAGTCGCACCCAAGGACTCCATACGCACAAAGAATGTCCAGTCGTGTTGGTTGCCGCTGCCTGCCTGCAGTTTGGTGGGGGCGTCCCCGCTTACGGGAGCCATGCAGGGGCGTCTCTCCAACTTTCCTTGCACTTGCATGTGAATGCACCCCTATGCCATGGCTGGAAGCTATTGCATACCCGCGGCGGTACCAGCGCATGGTCATTGCCAATGAACACCCTCTTGTGTTCCAGCCGCCGAGGCGCGAGGCGGGCACGCTCCTGCAGCATAACAGGCACTCAACTGTTGACAGCGTTGTGCATCCAGCCATCATCACAACAAGGCATGGAAGCGTTTGCTCCCGTGGCAGGCAGGGGAGGGAGGCGGCGCTGCACCTCGGCTATCTCGCAGCCACGCTGGGCATAGAGCGCTGGGAAGGCCAGCTGCACCCGCTGGTCCAAATCCTCATCAGGCTGCACCTCTGCCAGCCACAGCGTGCGCCTGCATGTGGAAGGCCATGGGCATGGGCTGGACAAGGCGGCAGGCCCATGGCCTGCTGCCCACTCATGGTGCCCACGGTAGCATTCGGGCTGCCCAGGAATAGGCCAGTGGTGCGAGGCCTGCACACCTGCACAGAGGGCACTCCCGCCGCCGCTCCTGCGCCGGCTTGCGCCCATCTGCTGGCTTGCGCATGTCAAACAGGCGCCCAAGGCAGAAGCTGCAGTACGTGTGCCTGCACGGCGTCGTCACTGGGCCGTGGAAAAGTGAGTGGCACAGGGCGCACAGCAGGTCGTCGGCCGGCTCTGCGCCACAGTGCTCGGCGGGGCGCAGCAGTTTGGATGCCATGATGGGGGTCTGCAGACAGTACAGGTATGAGTCACCACCAGAGGCGCAGCAAACGGCGGCCTTGTGCCGGGCGGGCGGAGGTAATGCTGCAGCCATCTGCACCTTCCTGCATTGCTGCAGCAACCCCGCAGAGCCCAGACGCCATTAGATGCGAGACAGCACTTGCCGAGGGTAGGGGAAGGCTTGGGTGAAGGCCAGTGCACCTTGATGTCAGCCGAGGAGGGGCTCAATTTCAGATGCGACAAGTGTGTTAGGCTTGAGCACAATGCAGGCAGGCGAAACAAGGCGCACAATGCTGCTGAACACACGCTGACGTGTGTTTTGCCTACTGATGCCAGGCGAAACAAAAAGGTATTCAGTAGTGAGCATTAATCCGGGGATGCAAAGCACAAGCAAAATTGGCGTCCAGAGTCACCCGCGATGCTGTGCCGACCGCTGCCCGTGTTTCCTCTCTTCCGCCACACGGCAGCTCGCTCCTGGTGCTCGTGTGGCCACAGACTTGCAGCAGCAGCGGCAGGAGCCCCCAATACAGCATGCGCCGCCACCGCCGCCACCGCCGCCCAGGCGACGGCAGCGACGGCCTCTGACCAGTGGCCAGGCCTGCATGAGTGGAGGCTGGCAGACGCAGACCTGCGGACAGTGTGGGGCGCCAAGGGGCCTGTTCCACCGCAAGCAGATGAGCGAGGGACAGCAGCAGCAGCGTTCGAGCCAGCGGGACTGCCAGCCTCGCTCGCAGCGTGTGGCAGAGAAGTATTGCTGTCTGCAGATCCACGAAGGAAGGCGGCACTGACATTTGCGGCATGGCGAGCTTTCAAGGCAGGAACGCTGCCCATTGGCACAGGTGTGGCTTTAGGTTTGTGATATAGCAGGCCGTGGGATGAGTGGTGGTGGCGCTTGCATATCTCTTTGTTGCCCTTTGCCCTTCTTGCGGCTTGGCGGACTAACTGACGTCGCGCCCCCACTCTGCTCATGCTTGCAGCTGATCCGCTGGAGGGACCTCCGGCACGCCCAGCCAAGCCTGAGCTTGTACCGCCACGCCAGATCCCCTCCATGGACGTGAGTGGTGGTGTGTGCCTGGACCGCGTCTGTGTCATGAGGCACGATGGCTGGCTGGGCGGGACGTGGGTGCACCGCCGGCTGGGCCCACTCGGTGCTCCAGTGTGAGCTGCTGCTGCTGTGGGCCTGAAGCAAGCACGCACTCCTGTCCTGCCTGTCGCAGAAGAGCACGCTGCCAAAGAGTGTGTACATGCTGCACAACTTGACGCATGTGAGTGGGGGAGGGAGGTACTGTGGCGCGCCTGCCCCGCCTTGACCATCTGCAGCGGCCGCCCATGCCGGCGCCCTTGCTTCCCTTGAGTACAGGTGGAGCTGAATGCTGTTGACCTGGCATGGGACACGGTTGTGAGGTTCTCGGCCTTTGGGCTGCCTGCAGACTTTTACTCCGACTTTGCCAGGTGACTCCCCCTGGCCTGCCTCGTGGCTGTCTGTCTGTCCGTCTGCCTGTTTGCTCACCCTTTGGCATCACCTGCAATTAACCCCGTGGGCATACCTTCAACGTGCGGTCGCTTCCTGTGGGCTGCTGCCTGGCGCAGGGTGGCCGACGACGAGAGCCGCCACCTGAGCTGGTGCCTGCAGCGGCTGGAGGAGCTGGGGTTTGAGTATGGCTGCATGCCGGCGCACGACCTGCTGTGGGAAGGGTGCCAGCTGTCGCAGCACGATCTGGGCGCCCGGCTGGCCGTCGTACCCATGGGGCAGGTGCGTGCAGGTGGCAGGCAGGCCGCCTGTGCCAGTTGTGACACCAACACGATCGGGGGTCGCCTGCGGAGCAGCCATTGTGCTGGATCCGCCACGCCATTGCAGGTGGCTATCCAGGGATGCGAAGGGCTGACCCGCCTGCCTGCGCCTGCCAATGTGGTGCAGGAAGCCAGGGGGCTGGATGCGGGCGACCGGCTGGCCAAGCGGCTGGTTGGCATGGGTGACAACCGCACCGCGGCGATTGTACGCCGGGTACGCCAGCGCTGAGCTCGTTCTGCCTCGGGGCACGGGCGCCTGCCAGGCCTGCCCCTGGCTGTGTCAAATGCCACAGCAGCCTTGCATGGTACCCTGCATCCCACATTTCTGCTGCTGCTGAGGGCCTGTCTTGGACTTTTCCTGGGCTGCAGATCGCCACGGAAGAGAGGGCTCATGTGGCAGTGGGTAGGTGCCAGCTGGCTTGCTGTTCCCACTGCGTGCCACCCAGGTGGTGCGGCAGCTTGCCCCACCGCCCCTCGCCTCCTGCCAACAAGCAGCCTTCTTGCGCCTGCCTCGCCTGCAGGCGTCGCATGGTTCAGCCGCATCTGCGCCGCGCTGGGCGTGGAGCCAGGCCCCTCCTTTCAGAAGCTGCTGCTGACGCTCACGCCGGGGCTGCTCAAGGGGCCCTACAACGATGCCGAGCGCCAAGAGGTGGGCCTGCCTCAGCAGTGGTACTTTACCGCACTGTGGGAGCCAGACCTGCGGCAGGCGGCGGCAGAAGTGCTGGCAGCGGCGGAGCGGGGCGGCCAGCCTGCGCCGCTCCCGGCCAGCATGCGCAGCGGCACAGCGCTGGCGCCGGTGCGAGAACCCGAGAAGTTGCGGCAGCTGGCAGCCCGGCTGGCGGCCGTGCTGGACCTGGAGCTGGCTGCGTCGCGTCCCGCGTAGGCCCCAGCTTGCTTGCGCACAGGCTGCCAGCCCATGCGGCAAGGGGGAATCTGCCGCTCCATGACGCTGTGACGCTGGTGTTGCCTGAACCCCATTCTTCTGCCTGACTGCACTGCATCTTGCCATTTTATCATGTATTCAATGCCCTGTGCACTCCTGTAGCAAGCACACGTAGTGGCACAGAAATCAGGCTTGCGCTCAACCTGGAGGGACAGATGGCGGGGGGCAGGGGGGTGGGATGACGCGGTGTGTCCGACTGTTCGATCATACCCCGAATCAGCAGCAGTTGGCCGAGTTATATTTGAACAGCGAGCTCTGCGTTCATTTTTAGAGGGCGGAGGGCTACAGCCACAAGCTGGTAGACATGGAGCGCCTACCACTTAGAGCCGTGCTGCTGCTGGTTTGGTGCTGTGTGTGCGCGCTAGGTGAGTGCAACTTGTCACGCCACCGCAGTGGCATGCGCGGCTCACATGTCCATGCGTCGTCGAGCCCTGGGGGAGCTGCAAGCCGCTTTGGGGCAACCCTCATGTGGCAGGCAGTGATCAACAGCGGCCCCCGCCGCCGCACTTCCGCTGCCGCCTGTTTGCCGGCTGGTCACCGCCGCACTCGGCGCTTGCTCGTAATTGATGGGCAGCAGGCAAGACCATCCTGAGCCTGCACATTGTCAAGCCGCACTGCATCGTACCGTGGCTGCAGGCATTGGACCAGAGTGGTACAACTGCAGCCCCGCAAACTGCGCCGCGCCAGACTGCCAGTGTGCATCCTGGACGGCGCCCGCCGTGAACGGCACCCCGCTGGCGGCCAAGGACACCCCGCAGTTCATCGTGTTCACGGCAAGTGCCAGCATGGCTCTGCTCTGAGCGAGCTCCCATGGCTCTCGCCCCTGCCGCTCGCCTCATTCTGCGTGCCGCCGTCCCGCTGCAGCACGACGATGCGATTGGCCAGCCGACCAACCAGGCGGTCCGCGAGATCATTGACAAGCACAAGAATCGCAACGGTGGGCGAGGCTGGAGGCGGGGGTCGCTGCGCGTGCGCGTGCCTGGCGCTCATCATGCCGCCGATGAGCTTGGCATGCCCCGTCTGCTGCCTTGCCTGCAGGCTGCAACATGCCGGCCACCTTCTTTGTGCTGGAGAGCGGCACCGACTGCCTGCTTGCCAAGGCATTCTGGGAGCAGAACAGCGAGGTGAGCGCCCCTGCGGGGGCACGCGGGAAGGCCCACTTGCCCGCCAGCGGACGCCAAGCCTGCGCCCACCTCCTCCCACCACCTCTCCCGTCGCGCTGCTGCGGCGGCTGGATGCGGGCGGCGGCAGCAGCTGCGGCAGCCAGGCCACGGGCTGGGGGGGCTTGCAATGCTGTGCCGGCGTGACTTGGCGGGCTGCTGGCCGATGGCTTCAGCCCGACAGCCCGCCCCGCCGCGCCCCGCCCCGCCCCGCCCTCCCGCACCGCCCCACAGATTGCCATCCACAGCAAGACGCACCTGCCGCTGACCAGCCCCTTCCCGCTGGGCCCCGAGGGTGAGCTTGCTCCCCGCCAGGGCAGCCAGCCATGCCCCCGCCCCGCCGTCGCTTGCGCTGCAGCAGGCGGGGGCCATATGCGGCACAGCCTGCGCACGGTGTGCCCCCTCCCTCTCTGACCCAAACAGAGCGGCTGCACCCCCACCCTGCCCCCTGCCCTTGCCGCAGGCATGTGGGAGGAGATGTTCAGCGTGCGCGAGTACCTGAACGAGACCTGCGGCATCCCGCTGGAGGTGCGCCGCTGCAGCGGCAGGGGGTGGACGTGAGGGTGTGTGCAGGCACACGCCGCCGCCTGCGCCTCGCCCGCCCACCTCCTCCCCCCTGCGCCCCTCCCCACCCATGCACACGCCTGCCTGCCTTACCCCCCCTCTTCCTCCGCAGGACATGGTTGGGTTCCGGGCCCCGCTGCTGGTGCACAACCCCGCGGTACGTGCCAACCTGGCTGCGGAGGGCATGCTGTACGACAGCAGCATCATCGAGTTCTACGCCCCCGACTCGACCACCTCCCCCAATGCCTCCACCCGCCTCTGGCCATACACCATGGACCAGGGCATACCGCAGGTGTGTGGGGGGGGGTGGGTGGGGGGGTGGCCGGCGGGCTGCTGGTGGTGGGTGGGTGGTGGGTAGTTGGGTGGTTGGGAGGCTACTGGTGGTGGTGTGTGTGTGTGTTGTGTGTGTGTTGTGTGTGTGTGTGTGTGTGTCTGTGTGTGTGTCTGTGTGTCTGTGTGTTGGCTGCGGGGTTCACATGGGTGTGGCGGTTGGTGGTGGTGGATTCCCGATGGGCAGGGGCTCTGCATGTGTGGGCACGAGCGCTGCACAGCGCCTGCCCGCCCGCCGCCCCCGTCCCCGCCACCCCGCCCCGCCCCTGCCGCGCCCCACCCCGCCCCGCCCCGCCCCCTCCCTCTCTCCCGCAGGACTGCACCTACTTCCAGGGCAACAACTGCACCCAGGAGGAGCGGTACCCAGGCTTGTGGGAATTCCCGCTGCTCAACACGCAGGCGGCGAGTGAGTGGGCAGCGCGCTGCCGCGCCCATTTGGCCTGCCTCCCCCTTCCTTCCTACACACACCCTTCCTTCCTACACACACACACACACACACACTCACGCCACGCCACACACGCTTACCCCCCACGCACTGCGCGCCTGCCTGCCCCCTGCCCCCCCCTGCAACAGACGGCACCCTGCTGTACAGCATGGACCCGGGGCGGGACGCGTCGGCAGAGTACGGCGCCGCCGCCCAGGGCGGCCTCCCCGCCGCCGACCTGCGCCAGCTGCTGGAGCTCAACTTCAACAGCAGGTGGGGGCGCCAGGAGGGCTTGGCTGGCAGCCAGGGATGCTGGACGTCGGGCGGGCGGGCGGGCCCCTTTTGAGGGATCTGGGTGTGCATCCCCTGGCGAGGGCGGCCATGCTGGGGGGGGGACATGCCCGTGTCGAGTGCCCGCTCAGCTCCCTCCCTCCCTCCCTCCCTCGCTGCCCCCGCGCAGCTACAACGGCAACCGCGCCCCCTTTGGCATCTACGTGCACACGCCCTGGGCCACCCCCGACGCCGTGGCCGCCACCAACGACTTCCTGTCCTGGGCGCTGGCCCTCAATGGCACATACGCCGTCACCATGCGCACAGTCATCGAGTGGATGAAGGTAGTGTGTGTGTGTGTGTGTGTGTGTGTGTGTGTGTGTGTGTGTGTGTGTGGTGGGCGCACCGGCAGCGGCGCCTGGGCGCCCGAGAAGCCGGCGCCTGCGGCGCGCAAAGCCCGTGGCCGCCTCCCCGCCCGGCGCGGGCCATGCCGGCGCGCTCACACGCGCGCCGCCGCTGCCTCCCGCTCCGCCACGCCGCTCTGCAGGACCCGGTGCCTGTCTCCCAGATGGATGAGTGGCTGAGCTGCAAGCAGGTGGACCTGTCCAAGTCGCCGGGCGCCACCCGGTGCCAGGTGTACACGGTGAAGCAGGGCGACTTTGGCGAGCAGATCGCCACCGACTTTGGGGTGGCCATGGCCGACCTGGCGGCCCTCAACCCAAACGTGAGCCGCGCGCGCCCACAGCCGGCAGCACAGCACAGCACAGCACAGCACAGCACAGCGCAGCCTGGCTTACCGCTCGCCACCTGCCGCCGGCGGCGGCCTGCCCCATGCCGGCATCACCGCCGCCGCCCTGCGCCCACCTGCTGCCACCGATGGATTGCCGTCCTTGCCTGGGCTCCACCGCCCCCCCTGCTCCCTGCCCGCCTGCCTGCCTGCAGCTGGACACGCTTCAGATTGGGGAGCAGGTGCTGATCCCGCCCTTTGACGACAAGTGCGGCGAGGGCACCCCGGTGACCAGCCCCCCGACTGCCTGAGAGCCACTGCTGCCCGAGAGATGGGCAGCCAGCGCTGCTGCCACCACTATCGCACACAGGCCCAAAGCGCCGGATCCCGCGAATACTGTCCCATCCCCTAAGTAGCCATTGGCCCCATGCCCCGCAGCCCCTGGCAGCGCTCAAATCAGCAGCGCCATGCACCCGCGGATCACCCCACGGTCCCTGCCCGCCTACAGTAACCCAGCGGGAGAGTTTTTCCCTTCGAGTATGCCGACACACGACTGCTTCCTGGTATTTTATACATGCTTTTGCTGTCTCTCCCCCCCCACATGATTATTGGCGATGTCGATGGCCCCTCCCTGGGCCCGTGCTCCACCCACACTGCTCCCTCTCCGGCGCTGATACAAGCTGCCCTGCTCCTTTTCCTCGGGGCGCATTGCCCCTCGCTCCCTCCCATCGAGATTATTGTTGTACAACCCTACCGGCAAGTGCGCCATTCAAACAAAACAGATGGCATACCCTTCCCTGGCAACAAGCGCCAGGGACAGGGCAGGGAAAAAATTGGGAGAACAGTGGTACATCAAATGCAGCCGTCAAATTAGATTACGCGGCACAGAAGGATTCAACAACACGACAGCCGTGTGCCTCACTTCTCGCCCTGCCGCCTGGCCTCAGCCTCCTCCCCCTCCTCCCCCTGCGACTGTTCCTGCGGCTGACCCTCCAGCTGGGCGCCCTCCCCGGGCGGCTGCCCTGCCATCTCCGCCAGCAGTGGCTGCAAGTAAGCCTGCTCCACCTTTGGCTCCGCCTTGGCCGCCCGCCTCAGCAGCTCCACCGCCGCCTCAAGCTGGCCCAGCTTGCGGTGCAGCGTGGCCTGGGACACCCAGCACCGCACCCGCAGCTCGTCTGCAGGCGCGGGCAAGTGGTGGTGGGGGGGGGTAGGAGGGATAGCACAGAGGGTTCAGCGGCGCAGCCAGGCGTGGATGGGGGCTCTCTCTCTTTCCACCCCGAGTCCGCACCACCCGCCTGCCTCGGCATGCCACTGCTGTGCCTGCCCAGCAGCTGCCTGCCCTCGCCACGCACCCGTCTGAGCCGCCTCCGCCGCTTTCCCAAAGGTGTGGATGGCGGCGTCGTGCTCCTGCTGCATGTGCATCGCCACCGCCGCCCCAAACCAGGCGCGAGCCCGCGACTGGGCATCCAGCTGCACCGCACAGCATTGCATGCATGAGGGGGCGGGGCATGGTCAGGCGCCAGCGGGGATCCCAGCGGAGCTACCACCTAACAGCCAGGCCCAGCCCCGGGCAGCAGGCGCATGCCGCATGCATGCAGGCTGTCGCTGGGTGTAAACACGCAGGCAGGCCCATGCCGCCCGCGCGCCGCCGTGCCTGCTGGCTGTGCGCCGCCTGCAGGAAGCACTGCTCAGACAGCGGCCAGTCCTTGAGCGCAGCATGCACCTGCGGGCAGGCGCAGGCCGGGGGGGCAGGGGAGGCGGAGCTGGGACCCGGCATGCCAGGCCTGCGTCGCCGGCGGGGCAGGTCCCGCCAGGCGGGCACCCGGCCACTTGTCTGCCCATCGGCCCACCATGCTGCCAGGCCTGACCCCGCCTCCCCGCCTCCCCGCCCCACCACAGCACACATACATATCCTCCTGACCTGTCCAAGCGCGTAGAGCGCGTTGGGCTGGCCAGGGTAGAGCTGCAGCAGGCGCTGCAGCACTGTGCAGGTGGCGCCCGCGCGGCCCTCGGCCCTCAGATGCGCCACCCTGTCAAACAGCGCCGCCTGGTCCGAGGTGGTGAGCAGGAAGTGGCGGAGCTCGGGGTCCACGCCAGCGGCAATGGGGCCCACCGCACCCGCAGCCACCGCAGCGGCCGCCGCAGCAGCGGCATCGGGCGCCGGCCGGGCCGGCGCGGCGTCCGCCGTCGGCTGCTGCGTGCCGGTGGGCAGCCCCACGGCTCGCCGCACCGCGGGCTGCTTCAGCGCGTGGTTTTGCAGCAGCGCCAGGCCGCTGCCGGCGGCCCAGTAGCAGAGCGCGCCCTGGGGCAGCTGCAGGCGGGCAGCCGGGGAGGGGGAGGGGGGCAGGGGCTGGATGCTGAGCTGGTAGCCCTGCGCATGAATGCCCTGCCCTCTTGCCCCGCCTCCTGGCAGTCCCCCACACCGCACCACACCCGCCCCCACCCCGCCCACCCCACCTGCAGCGCGATGGCAAACAGCGGCACCATCATCCACTCCAGCAGCAGGCGCAGCCCTCCCATCACCCACAGCATCACGCTGGCCTGCTGGCGCGAGCCCGCCGGCACTGCAGGGCGGGCGGGGAGGCACGGCACACAAGCGCGTCGGCCCGCCATGCAGGCAAGCGCCAGCCTGCCCAGGCAGCCAGCCAACGCTCGCGGTACTTGCAACACACGTTGGCGCCGCTTTGCATCCAGCTGCTGCCAGCCGGCCACCATGCGGCAGGCGCGCTTGCCTGTGAACGCCGCATCTATGTTTGCCAGCATGGATAGCACGATGCCCACAGGCAGCACCACGCCCGCCATGCCTGCGGAGGCAGGCGGCGGCAGGCGCGTGCCACGTCAACAGCCGCACCAGCCAGGTCCCCAGCCGTGCCGGCAGGCGCCGTCCTGCCCTGCCTCCCCACCTCGCCATCCACCCGCACACGCAAAGCACCGCCGCCCCCGGGCAGGCGTGCCCCTGCACCCACCCACCCATGGGCGCGGTCCAGGTAGCCAGGTCCATGGCTGGCAGGGTGAGGTCTGGGAACCAGGCGCCGCCGCCGGTGCTGAAGCCGGGCCAGCCGCTGAGGCTCATGGTGCGGATGGCGGCCATGGCTGTGATGAAGACGGGCAGCTGGGCCAGGGGAGAGGCCAGCGCCCAGGCGGGGTGCGGCGCACCCGCAGCCTGCCGCAGCTGGTGGAAGCGAGCCAGGATCTGGCGCATGGAGGGGCCTGGCGGCGGCGGCGGCAGCGGCGACGGGCTGCCCGCAGCCCGCTGCTGCTGCTGCTGCTGTAATGCTGCCACCGCCGCCGCCGCCGCCTGCTGCTTTCGCTGCCAGCGCTGCTGCCTGCTGCCGCCGCCGTGCCGCTCCGCCTCCTCCTGCTGAGTGGCGCCTGCCGCCGCTGCCGGTGCCGCCGCATTGAGCTGACGCCGCATGCTGGCTGCCACCTCGTCACGCGCCTGGCGCAGCAGCGGCATGAGCGCCGCGCTGGCCTTCATGCCTTGCAGCGAGACGGGGAACATGGCGACGCGGACCGCCACACCCACTGAGCAGATGGTGGCCCACCAGGGCAGCCCCGTGGCGGCGTGCAGCCCATCCACGGCAGCCATGGCTGCCCCCAGCACAGCTCCAGGGTCGCCGCCACCGCCCGCTGCTGCTGCAGCGGCGGCAGTCGCGCCGTCGGCGGCTACCGCCAGCGAATCGGCGGCGGCGTCGAGGCTGGCGGCGCCGGCGGAGCTGCCGAGCCCAAGCGCCTGGCCACCTGCACCTGCTGCTTCTCCTGACGAGCTGCTAAAGCTACGAAAGGCCAGAAGGGTGGTGCTCTCCAGCGGTCCAGCCCACCTGCAACCAAAAGGGGGTGGCAGCAAACCGGAAAATGATCACCACAGGTCGCCACAAAGAGCCTCTGGCAAGCATGCTGGCAGCGTTTAAAGCGCACCTCATCACCCGGGCTGCTCTCTGGGCGGTGGACAGGGTCGCCATGTCGCCAGAGGCGACCCAGGCAATGCCCAACTGCGAGGATGGAGAGGGGGGCTATGGGCAGAGCTTCGTAGATGGGTCCATCGATTTTTGCCGACTCAGCGCCACGCTGGATCGCGTGGAAAACGTGCTGGTTGCTCGGCAGCAGCCGAGATCACTCGTCTGATTGCCTGCCAAGTTGCAGGAGCCGGCCTCTTGAATTTTGTAAACCAAACCCTCCCGCAGAGCTCGGCAGCTGCGTTTATCGCTTCTGTTGTCATCGCCGATCCCTCATCGATACCTGATCCCATGCAGTGCCCGGTGACCGCGACACGCATGCGCCCTGCTGCTAGTCCGTCCTCTGGGGCGCGCCCTGGCGGCTTTCAGCAGCAGACGAGCGACAGGATTGCACACAGGGCGTGCCTCTCGCAGCGGTCAAAGCGGCGAGCATCGCCGGTGCTGGCAGCGGCGGCGACGGGCATAGAGGCGGTGGGCGGCGTGCGCCCCGAGATTGACGCCGCCGTCCTGCAGGCCCTCGGCCAGTGCCTCACCGACACAGACCTTGGCATGGGCAAGAAGTACAAGGTAGGGCGCAGGCCGAGCGCTGGATCAACACCCTTGTGTGCACGGTGGCAACCGTGAACGCGCCTACCCGTGCGGCTGCACTGCCGCCCCATGCCCTTGCCCCCGCTCCTGTCCGCCCATGCCGTGCCGTGGCCCTTCCCCTGCCCTCCATCACCTCCATCACCCTGTACCGCAGGGCAAGGTGCGGGACACATACGACCTGGGCGACAAGCTGGTCATCGTGACCACCGACCGGCAGAGCGCGTTTGACCGCCTGCTGGCCGCCATCCCCTTCAAGGGCCAGGTGCTCAACCAGACCTCGGCCTGGTGGATGCAGCAGACGCAGCACATCGTGAAGAACGCGCTGCTGTCGGGTGCGGAGCCTCCATGCCTGCGCTGCATGGCCGCCCGACCCACTGCCTGCGGCGCCGCCCTGGTACCTTGTGCACTGGGGGACCCGCTTGCGGCGTGCACCTCCCCATGCCTCACGCGTGCCCCTGTGCCCCCTTGTTGCTGCCCGGCGCAGTGCCTGACGCCAATGCATGCATCATGAAGAAGTGCGGCGTGTTCCCGGTGGAGTTTGTGTGCCGCGGGTTCATGACGGGTGCGGCAGGCAGCGGGCGTCTGTGCTTGCAAGCATTTGGAAGCAGGCCAGCTGGCACATGGCCGGCACCAGCCCGTCACATTGCCTCACCAGCCCGGCAGCATACCCTGCCGGTGGTTTGGTCGGTGCAAAGCCCAGCACATGCGCCGCTGCTGCTGGCGCCGCAGGCAGCACCGACACCTCGCTATGGACTCACTACAAGAACGGGGCGCGAGAGTACTGCGGCAACACCTTCCCTGACGGCATGCGCAAGAATGAGCGGCTGGCGCAGGTGGGCCCCAGTGCAGCCTGGCTGGCGGCCAGCGCTGCCAGCATTGGCTCCTGCCAGGCTGCCGCGACAGCCTGCCGTGCTGGCTTGTGCCTGATGGTGAATGCACCCACCCCGTCCTGTGCAGAACGTCATCACCCCCACCACCAAAGCAGAGGACCACGACGAGCCCATCAGCCCCGCAGACATTGTGAGGCAGGGGCTCATGTCGCAGGTAGGGCTGGGTGGGTGGTGGGGTGGTTGGTGGCAGCGGCCACGGTGCATGCTGACAGCAGGGCGGCAGCTTGCTGCTGGCCAGCGCAGGCCAGCTGGAGCGCCAGCAGCAGCATGCACCGCCCGCCCCTGTCTGTTCGGCATTTCACAGGTGTTGCCGCCGCCGCCGCCGCCGCCGCCTGTTGTGCAGGAGGATTGGGATGCGGTGAGCACCGCGGCGCTGCAGCTGTTTGCGTTTGGGCAGCAGCAGGCGGCCCAGCGCGGGCTGCTGCTGGTCGACACCAAGTATGAGTTTGGAAAGGACGAGGCGGGTGCGCACAGAGTCGCGGGTTGGGTTGGGTTGGCTGGGGGAGTCGAGGCAGTGGAGTGCCTGCGTCTGAGCGAGGTACACTGAGGGGTGTGTCGGTGGGTGGGGGGAGGGAGGGGTCAGCAGGAGGAGGCCGCAAGCAGGCAGAGAGCTTCCCGTGGCCAGTCACCCCCCCTCCCTCCTGCCTGCCCCCGGCTGCCCCGTGCCCAGGCAACATCCTGCTGATTGACGAGATCCACACACCCGACAGCAGCCGCTACTGGCTGGCTGACACGTACGAGCAGCGGCATGCCCAGGTGGGCGGGCGGGGACATGCCAGCGATATCAGCAGCAGGTTGGGGGGGTGCTGGGAGTGGTGTGAACTGCCTCGCAGGGTGTGCCTCCAACGGTGCAAACATGCATAGCCACCCACCCCGCAGGGCGAGGAGCCCCAGAACATCGACAAGGAGTTCCTGCGCCTCTGGTTCCGAGCCAACTGCGACCCATACAACGACGCGGTGCGCGCCCGCCCGGCAGGGCCGCCGCGCACAGCCGCGCCGTTGCTGGCATGCTTCCAGGCAGCCCGGCCCAGTGCTGCATAAGCTCGTGTGTCCCGCAGCGCTGCAAGTGTGCCCGCCGCCTGCACCCTTGCTGCCATACACCCGCGCCAGCACCACCACCACCGCCCAACCTCTCCGCCGAGCAGGTGCTGCCCGAGGCGCCAGCGGAGCTGCGGTGCGAGCTGTCCAGGCGGTACGTGCTGCTGTACGAGAAGATCACGGGGCAGCAGTTCCAGCCAGCCCCGCTGGACGAGGAGCCGGCGCAGCGCATGCGCCGCAGCGTGGCGGCGGCGCTGGAGGCGCTGTGAGGCCGGCACACGCGTCCTGCCGCCCCCGCGCAGTCCATGCTGTGGGCTGCTGACGCGCCTGCCTGGGAGTGCACGCTCTTGTTTTATTGTTGTTACAGCAGCACAAGGATTAAATTACAACAAGGTTTTTGACCCGCCAGGTCCCCACCAGGCACGGCACATGCCGGCCTGCGCCCCTCAGTAGTAGGAGGCCACCACGCGCCTGTGCACCGCCGTCTTCTTCTCCGCCTGCGTCACCTCCCCCTCCACCACCTCTGCGTACACCACCCAGTGGTCGGACGTCTCCATGCGCGACCGCACCACGCACTCCATGTGCGCGATGCTGCCGTCCAGCACGGGGCAGCCGTTGGCGGCGGGGCGCCACGCGATGCCCTCAAAGCGGTCGGCGCCGGGCGGGAAGCGCTGCGGGCGGCGCGGGAGGGGGGCGGGGGGGCGGGTCAAGCAGGCAACTTGCCGCATGGGCCCGGCGCATGTTTGCGGGCGCCCTGGTGTGGGTGCAGGCACCAGCTGCACCTCAAGGCCTTCCCGATGCCATGCGTGCCATGCAGCCCAGCACACACGCGGCTGCAGGATGCAAGGCTCGCCTGCAGGAAGTGCTTGAGCGTGGCGCTGTACTCGTTCTCGCCCAGGCAGTTGAGCACAAAGGCGTCGCCAACCTGCAGGGGGGAGGGGCTTGGCGGGGGAGGGGGTTGATGGGAAGGCGGGAGGGGGCAGAGCATGCAGGGCATCGCTGCCAGCAGCACCAGCATGCGCACCAGCTGCTACACAGCGCGTGAACACGGCAGAGTGGCATCCAGTGCGCCTGTGGGGGCGGCGCTGCCCCAGCCCCAACCCAACACACACACACACACACACCCTTCACCCCCCCACCTGCATCAGCGACTCGATGGCCCTGTCCTTGGCCACCGCGATGGTGAGGCCCAGCGGCTCGAACGAGGCCTGGCTGACCCAGCTGGCCACCATGGCGCTCTTGGCATTTGTGTGGGCGGCGGTGACAATGTAGAGGCCGCCCGACACGCGCGCCAGCGCCTTGGCCACGTCCGGGCACATGGCCGCCTTCTTGCGCGCGCTGGCCTCCTTGGCGGTTAGCGCCTGGGCCAGGTCGGTGCCGGCCTCCTCAAACAGCTGCGGAGGGGCAGCGAGAGGAGGAGGGGGGGGGGGTGAGGTGAGGCAGGGCACCGAGGTGAGGCGAGGCGCGTGCAGCCGCCCACACCCCACACGCACACCCCCCACCCACCCTCACCCACGCCCCGCCCCCCACCTGGTACAGCGCCTCTGTGGGGTCGTCCTTGACGCGCAGCGCGCCCATCATCGGCTCCACCCCCGCATCCACAAACGCGCTCA